TTACACTCCCTTCTGAGATGTTTCCTGTTCTTCCTGGTTCTCACTTGCCCCTCAATAACCCTGCTCTGGAGTTTATTAAATATGTCTGCCAGGTATCAACATGCACCTCTTGCTCTTGTGTTTTTTCTGCAGAATTGTGTTTTAAACTCCTTTAGTTTTAACAATATATCTCCACACAAGACTACCATTCAAGAGTTTGAGTTTTTTATTAATACTTTCATACTTCTTAAACTCAAAAAGTACCAGTAAAGGCATTTCAGAAAATTGTTTCAAATGAATGCTGTTCTTTTGAACTTTTAATTCCTCAAAGAATCACAATTATCCACTAAAATATTAAGCAGCATGAACTGTTTTCAATATTGATAATCATAATAAATGTTTCTTGAGCATCAACTCAGCATATTAGAATGAAGGATCATGTGACACTGAAGACTGGAGTAATGATACTGAACATTCAGCTTTGCAACCACAGGAATAAATGACATTTTAAAATATATAAAAATAATTGTAATAATATTTCACAATATTACTGTTTTACTGTATATTTGATCAAATAAATGCAGCCTTAGTGAGCATAAAAGACTTTTCACAAACATCTTACCGACCTCAAACTTTTGAACATTGTAATGAAGATGTTTCTGTGTGTAATGTCCCTCCAGGTGCTCTCTCTGGACGCCAACATTGTCAACCAGGTGAACAAACTGAAGCGAGATCTTTTGCGATTGGTGGATGTTGGAGAATTCTCAGAGGACGCCCAGTTCCGTGACCCCTGCAAGTCTTACGTCCTGCCAGAGGTCATCTGCCACCAATGTAACTTCTGTCGTGACCTTGACCTCTGCAAAGACCCTGCGGTGTCCCAGGTAATAGCCTGACTCTCACTGTTAAAGTTTGTTATATTTAAACCTGCGGTTAATGGTTTGCTACTCACTCATGTTTACGTTTGACTAAGGGTTTAGTCAAGACAAAAGACAATAATATTCTGTCTTCACACCTCTTTCCTCATGTAGGATGGTTCAGTTCTTCCTCAGTGGTTCTGTTCTAACTGTCAGGCCCAGTATGACACAGACTCAATAGAAATGGCCCTGGTGGAGGCTCTCCAGAAGAAACTCATGAGTTACACCCTACAAGACCTGGTGAGAGACACATTTACCACTTTCAGAGTGTTTTAGATTTATGGTTTTGCCAAAGTTAACTCTTGAAGTGTAAGATGTCCAAGTTTAATGTATATGCACATCCATTGACCTTCACTTCTGTAAATGGCACTTTATCCCATCATAGGAATGTGCCAAATGCAAAGGAGTGAAGGAAGCAAACATGCCGCTGTACTGTAGCTGTGCTGGAGATTTCAACCTTAGCTTCACCACAAAGGTACTTGTGTAATACTAATATGCTAATACTTCTGTGTATTCGCATTACTACAGTTCAAAAGTTTGGGGTCAGTAAGATTTTATTCAACAAGGATGCATTAAATTGATCAAAAGTGACACTAAAGATATTTATAATGTAAGAAAAGATTTCCATTTCAAATAAATGCTGTTCTTTTAAACTTTCTAATTATAATAAAAGTTTCTTGAGCAGCAAATCAGCATATTAGAATGATTTCTGAAGGATCATGTGACACTGAAGACTGTAGTAGTGATGCAGAAAATTTAGCTTTGCAGATACATGAATAAATTAAAAATTTAATATATAAAAATAGAAAACAGTACTTTTAAATTGTAAAAATATGTCACACTATTTTACCGTTTTTACTGAATTTTTTATCAAATAAATGCAGCCTTGTTGAACATAAGATACTTCTTTCAAAAGCGTTAAAAAAATATTACCAAACCCAAATGGCAGTGTATGCTTTACAGCCAATGGAGCACCTGTCATGTTTTCTCATTTCCACTTGTTTGGATGTGTTTGCAGAGCTTCTCTGAGCAGGTGGAAGTGTTCCGGAACATTGCCGCCCACTATAATATGAGCTTCCTGCTAGAGACCATTGACTGGGTCCTTAGTATGAACGCATAGATGCTCTTCACCTGATGGTCTCCATTGGTTGTGCCAAACTATGTGTGTTTGTGCCGTTTGTACAGATCTGAATTCATTTGAAGTTTGTGTACATTATAACAGGGGAAATGTTTTGGTAATGGACCTTCTTTTATGTGTGTGTTAATAAATATTTTTGTATATGAAGAATTCACTTTTGCAAATGATCTTTAATCATTACTTCCTAAGTAACCAAGTGTAAATGATGATTTTGGTCATTATGGCTACTAATTGAATCTGCAATAATATGGCTCTTTCTCACAGTGGCATGCAACTAATACGTCCCTGTGGTAATAGTCCATTTGGATATCACCTCTTTTTGACGTTTATGAGTTTAATTCTGTAAAGAATATGGCTTTTAGTTTTTGTAACCACATATAGGGCTATTTGAGGTTTGCAATAGCCAGTTTAACTTAATGAGACGTCCACGTCACTGCCTGGCTCCCTAGCTCTGCCTTCCCACTTTACATTACCACATTATAATTCGATTTCTTATCTCTGAGGCAAAGACCTGGACATCATGGAGATATATGACATGCTGTGCAATTTGAAATCCAACCATTGCGAATTGGCATTGCTGCACTCGCCACTTACTGAACTGTAAGAGCAAAAAGCATTTCTGAAACGCTTTAAAATATTTTTCTTTTCCAGCAAACACTCAGTCAAAGTAGGTGCTTCACATTCAGAACATGCTTGTTAAAAAATGAATTATCTAATCATATTTCATTTGTTATTTCATACTGTTTGTTTTGTTTTACATTTGTTATTTTACAAGTTTTAAATTTTTTTGTGACCCTGGAGCATGTCCTGGTATGACCTTGTACATTTGGAGCATGTCTAAATGCTCTGATTTTCTTTTGTTATAATAGTAATAAATATTAAAGACAGAAAGAAAAGTAATTAAAAGTGCTGAATAATTGGGTGATAGGATTGCAGATTTAGTAATACAGTAAGGGATCACTAATGTTGGTTTGGAGTTGTTGACAAACTTTACCTGTCAAAAAGTTATGATCAGTAAATATATTTATTTATTTACACTTTACAATAAGGTTCCATTTCTTAACATTAGTTAACATGAACTAACGATAGAGAGTATTTCTAAAGCATCTATTAATCTGTTTTTGCTATCTTCTTGTACAGTAACCTTGAGCTTGGGAAAGGCACTTTATAAATAAACTTCAACATTTACTAATGCATTGATGAAATCAAGCATTGTATCTGAGAATATTATTTAATGGACCTGAGCTAACATGAACTATAGAAATGAACAGTGGTTTATTAACTAACATTTACAAAGATTAATAAATACTGTAACAAATGCATTGGTCATTGTTAATGTTAACTAATGAGGCCTTATTGTAAAGAAATACTTTTATTCAGCAAAGATGCATTAAATTGATCAAAAGTTTTTACATTGTTACAAAAAATGCTGCACTTTTGAACTTTAAATTCAACAAATAATTCTGTAAAAAAAAAATCATAATTTTGTTACACAAACTGCTATCAACATTAACAGTAATACTAAATGTTTCTTGAGCAGCAAATCATCATATTAGAATGATTTCTGAAGGATCATGTGACACTGAAGACTGGAGTAATGATGCTGAAAATACAGCTTTTACATTTTAAATTAAAGTATATAAAAATACAAAAAGTTATTTTAAATTGTAATAATATTTCACAATAATAATTTTTACTGTATTTAAATCAAATAAACGGAGACTTGGTGAGCATAAGATGCTTCAAATACATAAAAAATGGTTGTAAATCTTTTTTTTTTTTTTTTATAGAATGGTTGAGGTTTGACAAATGTAGCCAACACAACAATTTGGGTAAAAATTTAGCAATTTGAATGAGATTATTTACTTGTCTTCTAAATTTTAATAAACTAAAATAAGTGTTGTAAATAGTCTATATAAGAATGCTGTAGACAAACGGTTACATAGTCCTGCTAAGTTCATTAGTCTGTCCATCCTCTTTAGCATCTGGTTTCAGTCTCCTGTCCTGTCTGGAGATGAGGTTTTATATGCACCCTTGGTCATTACTTAAAAGACTGATCCATAAACCTCAAATGTGTGAGCTGCTATAAATCGATAGGTTTCTATTAATCACATTTAGAGATCTGGGCAGACGCAATTTCTCTTCCCCTAAATTTCATTACTGTAACCAATATCTCAAGAGGAGTTGTTATCAGGTTAGCAGTGCGAGTGCTTCTCTTCGGAGAAACCATCTCATCTTTCCTTATGCAAGATGATTTTTGATGCATGTAGGCTCCCGGAAAGGAGGTGCTTATTGGGAACAGATTGATCTTTTCCAGTACATAAAGTCACCATGAAATCAAAATTGACAATTCCTGTTTTTTATATATAGAGAGAGAGAGAGAGAGAGAGTATTGCCATATTTAATATAAATGATTTATCTGTGCACATCATTATTTTTTTTTAAACTCTTCTCTTCTCTGATGATGCGTTTACTGGTGTGAGGGCGGGACAACCTGTCACTCACATGAGATCCACCAATAGCAAACGACCACAATGATCCAATCAATTCCAGAGGGATAAAATCAAGTCCATTCCTAAAAAAAAATTCTTGTCCAAAAAGCCGGGTTTTTTTTTTTTTTTTTAATCACCGGGTAAGTTCAGTGTTAAACTTTAAAGTCAACTTGAAATCAAAATCCGTCATGTTCATTTCGTGGGATTTGTCTGAACACGCTATTCCAAAGAAAAATATTTTGTCAATATTTTAACAGATCAAAATCAAGTTCTGCTTTAGGTCCTGGAAATCAAATCATGTGACACGTTTGTATGAGACACAATATTCAAAGAGTTTTTACTTAATGAATATTCCTTTTCATTGAAATAATGTCACTTTCCAGAAGTAAAACATTTCATGTTCCATGACTGTTCAAACAAGGAAGATACATGCAAACCTGTTGTGTAGATGAATTAAAAAAGCAAGTCAATTGTTGATCAGTGTTTAATATTTATTGAAGCGAAACAACATATGTGTTTTTACGTGTTTTTTGAAGCTTTTCTATATTCAGATATGGCATTTTGTGCTGTATTCCACACTTCTTTTCCTCAGACAGGAAAATATCCAATCCTTTAGGTAACAATATTGCACTATACTCTATATTAGGCATGGCGTGCCGTGACGAGTGGTTTTGGTGGTGGCAGGATGTTACAGTGGCACACCATCTGAGAGGTCAGAGTGGGTGGAGCCATAGCTTGTAAGCGTGAGGTCTGTTGTCATTGGCTGACTGGGTTGCTTGGAGACCTGGTTAAACAAAATAGAAACAGCTTTTGATTAGCCTGTTCAAGAAAAAGAAAATAATCAACCATCATGTTCCAAACTGGATGACTTTCTTTCCCGTTTTGTGCTCCATGGAAGAAAGAAAGTCAATGGTTTGGAATGGCATGGAGGCGAACAGATGATAATTAGAGAACATAAATATAATATAACATAATAAAAATACTGCTGATACATTTATAGTCTGATTTGCCAAACTCTTTTGAATATTTGATATTAGTCATTAGAAATATTATGGAAGCTTGTTTTCGCCACTGAAAAAAAAAAAGGTATTTGCAACTTTTTACATATAAACTAGCAAATATGTGCGTTATAAAGTCAGAATCGAGAAATAAAGTCAGAATTGCAAGATATAAACTCGCAATTGCAAGACAAAAAATCTGAATTGCGAGTTATAAATTCAGACTTGCAAAATATAAACTCGCAATCCTGATTTTTTGCTCTCACAATTGCGAGTTTATATCTTGCAATCCTGACTTACTATCTCACATTTCTGACTTAACTCACAATTGTGAGAAGAAAAGTCAGAATTGCGAGAAAAAGGTCAGAATTGCGAGTTTATATTTTGCAAATCTGACTTTATTTCTCGCAATTGTGACTTAATATCATGCAATTCTGACTTTATGGGCCTTATCTAACATCCGGCGCAACGCAGCGCCAGGCGCGATCCAAGTGTTTTTTGCTAGTTTCAGCCTGACGCAGTTATCATTTTCACGTCCTACGCCATGTTGTTGAAATAGCAAATGTATTTGCGCCCATGGGCTACTGGTCTGAAAACGAGGTGTGTTCGGGCGCATTGATGACACGTTGCTATTTTGAGGCAACTGAAAAATAGACTGTGCTTTTGACCAACTGAAACCTGGTCTAAAGTCAATGGAGCAGTATTTTTTTGTTATTTAAAGAGCGCCTTAGTAATGTGCGCCTATAGGCGGGTCCACAACGCGCATAGCGTTACACACACAGGGACGCGCAGCAACACACAAACATGCCAAATATTAAAAATAAAAGGATTACAATGTAAAAGATTATTATTGTGTACATAAAGATGTCCCGTAGATGGTCTGCTTGCGCGTTTTAACCTCGCGCACGAGCAGATCCGTTTCCTCTCTGGAGAAGCGTTCAGTCTTTCCACTATCAAATTCCGCCATGTAAATAGTGAATCCGCCATGACGCGAGCGCAACTGGCTTTTAAAGGGAATGGGAGATGAGACTCTGATTGGTTTATTGCACGTTACGCCCAAAACACACCCATTAGTCACTAAGAGAATATGGAAAACCCCATATTAGACCCATTTTACCATTAAACTAGCAAAAGTGGATTCAGACCTAAGTGCAACTTGCGCCGTGCGCTTTAGACCATGCGCTTAGATCGTTAAAATAGGACCCACAGTCTTGCAATTCTAACTTTATATCTTGCAATTCTGACTTTGTCTTGCAATTCTGACTTTGTCACGCAATTCTGATTTTATATCTCAATTGTAAGAAAAAAAGTCAGACCTGTGAGATAAAAAGTCCCAATTATCTTTTACACTTTTTATTCCGTGGTGGAAACAAGCTTCCATAACATTCTAACCACACACACCAGTTGGAAATAAAAGATTATTGGAATATGCTTTACAAGTGAAGAATACTATGAAAATGTTCTGCTTCATAAATTCACGTTTAACTCAATGAGCTACTCTTTGTAATAATTTTTTTAATTTACTAGCTTTTTCTGAGTGAATTTCAAAGTAAATCGATCCTACACCAAATTTTTTTTTTCAGTGTGTCAGTTCAATTTCTCCACCCTGCTTGACTTACATCATCAAACTTCTTATCACTGAAGACTTCATTCTTATCGATAAACGTCAGCATGATCCAGTCACAGATGATTGAGCACTAGACGAGAGAAAATTAGACATTTCCTAAGATCAAGCATGAGGAAAAGCTGTGTATGTCCATAAATGCCACTTTCCTTTTTCCATCAGGGTTACGCCAGATCAAGCGCTTTGAGCGAAACCTGAGAATCATTCCCATAATGCAATTTGCGAAGTGTTTATGTCTGCCATCACTGTCATTATCTCACACATTTTAACCCCACATAACCATGTTTTTAATATGCATTCAGCAAAAACTTACAATTCCCACTGACGTCATGGCCGTGACTGTGTTGATGATAGTTGGAATCAGACTGAATCTTCCTGCCTGAAAGGAAATGCATGTTTCAATATTAGGCGTATGTGCAGTCAGCATGTCAGACAGGCACTAATGTACTTCCTGTACGGTCTCACATGTCCATGGACAATGACATCCAGGCGAATCCCATAGGCTTTAATGAGTGTTCTGTACTCCACACCATCCTTATAGTAATATTTTGCAAATCTGAAAAGTAAAAAAATGATTTTGAGATACGGAATTATTATTATTATAGAATAATGATGATACAAATATGTGCCCAAACTATAGATTACAAATGTTACAGTTTGCAAATGACATGATCATGATGAAAATTGTAGTTAGTAACATAATGTTACATAACACATTTTAGGTAATGTATTCTGACTACTTCTTTGATTACTTTGGACCTAACTCGTTTATCATATTGCTCTGACAATCTTATTGATAGTATACCATATTGACGTACAATACAAAAAAGAGAAAGAAAATATTCCACAATAAAGGGCATTACGGTTTTGTTTTCCTAACTGAAGGATCTGCAGGGGGTTAATGAGTTCATGTAAAGCTAATAAATAATCAAATCACAAAAATGTCAAATTAAAAAATGTCAACAAATCAGTACATCCTAAAAAGATCAAATATTTGAGTTGTTTACCGGCATGTGACCATTAATCGACATCAGAGAACCGTATGTTAATGTTTTGTTAAATTATTTTCTTAGTTATTAATTATATTAGGTCAAAAGGGGTTCAGCTGACTAAAAAGTGTGGGAATTACAGCATTACACGTAAATATGATTAATGTGTCTGAAAGCCTTCCAAATGCATAGTAATAATAAATGATTAAATGACTCACTGAGGGATAATTCGAATAGTAATTTAAATGTGTTTATCAGGAGTTGATTAGATATGCAATATAGAGAAAACACTCTTTAAAAGTGAAATGATTTCTGTAAATTCAGTGGTCAAGTGCTGTTGCCTCTCAGTTTTCCATGTTATTATAGTCACTTGACTAGTGGCTGGTCTGTGTGTGCAATTCCACAAATCAAGAAGCCTTCACGAACATATATAAGTGATAAACCGGAAAGACAAAAAAAAAAAGATTTGTAATCAACAAAAATGTAACTCTAGTCTAATTATGAGAATTAAGTACTTAATTTTTAGAATCTGATTAAGTAATCCAGATTACATACCTACACTGTTTATTAATCTTAAAATACAGCATGCTAAAAATTATGTAAGATGATTTTTGATGGATGAAGGTTCCCAGAAAAGAGAACTTTACTTTAAAATGTGTTAAACCACACGTCCATGGTATTGGGAGTCCTGCATATGCATCTTGTAATGTTAATGATCAACTGATCATCATTTTAAATGACAATCAATTACGGAAGTTCCTGTTAATTGTTCCACCAGTTAATAGTAGCCGTACCTGTCGTAGTATCCTGAGCTGGGCAGGTTTTTTCTCATGTCCAGACTTCTGAATGAATATGTTGGAATGCACTTTGAGGGATCCACATCAAAATCACACTTCCAGTTAATTAACACGCCAATTATTCCGCCCTAGACACATTAACACATACATTAAACTTACATATAGGTTACTGTTGCGTAAAAATGCAGAAAATCTATTGGTATCCTGTTTGACAACAGACCGTATACATACCGTTCTGCAAAGTTCACTGAATTTCTCTCTAGCTTGCGCTGCGATGAAGCCCAAGCTGAACACTGGACAATAAGGGTTGGTCTCTGGGTGATAATGACACCGGAGCAACTTCTTTGGCTTGTTTGGTTTGATATTGCCCCTGTAAACCATAGGCAATTTCACATTAGATCAAAAGATTTTTAAGATCAAGTAGTCAATGCAAGAGTCCAGCACTCTGTAAAGTCTCCTCCAGCACATCCCCAAGACTCCATGGTAGTCATGTGATAATGGTGTCGTTCTATAGGCTACGTTTAGCTTTTTACTCCTGGAAATTGTTTTTAGACTTCAAAATTCATAGAAGTTGTGTTCATTTGTTCACAGAATGTGTAAGAAACATTCACTTTTGCTGGTCACAGAGCTTATTCCCTACAATAATCCAAAAGCCAATGGAAAAATCCTATTGGGTTTTTGTAGAGGGAACCTGTGTGATGCTAATTTACGAGTTGGCCTAAAAAATACGCCACTCTATATGCCTTTTTTAAATCACACAAAATTCACATTCACATTTTGGAAAAATGTTAAAAAGCATGGTGGCTTTGGATAAACATCCTCTGATTTATGAGATATTCTGAAACTCATAACCTTACCTCAGAACTTTAAACTTTGGGAAATGGATGGCATTCTTTATAAACACTGTGAAATTAATGGCTTTTTCCAAAGCTGGTTCCCTGTGGAGACAGGAAAAACATTTTAGTGCATTTCTCTGCTTGATTTTTGACTTATAAATGAATTAAAGCGCAATACCTGACAACAGCATATTCCTCAATGGGACACCAGGTTTTGATCTCACAGGTCTTGAATGTGTAGTTGTAGTACGGTATACACCGTCCTGTTCTTTGACCTAATCAAAAACAAGTTCACATGTTGATATAAGTCATATTCAAACTATTCTGAGACTTGCCGAAGTGATTTTGGTATTCATATTTATACAGTGGGGCAGGCCATCAACTGAAACCCTTTTTTAATTAATTAATTATCAATGTTTTAAGTTTATTTATTTCGATTTGGATTTAAATACACAAATAATCATTTGCGCTGCAGTAATTATAGCAAATTCTGACAGTCATATACATTTTCTTTTTTCAATGTTGAATTTTTTTTGTATTGAGAAATTGCATCAAATCAGAAGAAGTTTAATATTAAAGTCAGCATGAAACGGAAGTTGCGATTGTCTTTTCTTCCCTATTGTGAAGATTGCAACAAGTGTAACAGTTTCTCAAACAAGAAAAAAATTAGGGCGGGACTTGATTTTGTCCATCAGGAATTATTTGGATAGTTGTGGTTTGCTATTGGTGGATTTCATGTGAGTGACAGGTTGCCCCGCCCTCTCGCCAGTAAACACGTCATCAGAGAAGAGAAGTCGCTGCACGAGGAAAGTTATTCTGCTTAAAGATTACGTGGAAATAAAAATAACAATGATGTGCACAGATAAATTATTTATAATAAATTCCATTAAAAAATCCATTTTGATTTCATGGTGACTTTAAACTAGTGATCTCAGCTTTTTGGACCCCACTGTATGCATGTTTATGTATGTATGAATTATGTATGTATGTATTATGAATGTAAACCTCACCATGACCATCAAAATCAATTTCCCCTTGAGCGCAGTCAGAATCTTTTGTGCAGTTTGCATTGGCAACACTGTAATGCTGAAAAAGCACAGAAGAAAAAAATTGCTGTTTGACTCAGACCAACCATTCCAACCAAAACATGAATACTTTGTATTTATATTGTTGTTTAGTTTTTGCTCTCACCTCGGCACATGCGCCCTGCGTCTGATCATGCGTTACTTCTCTTCTAAGAATTGTACTAATGACATCACCACCCTGTGCATAAAGAGATCAGTTTCTTCTTTCTAATCAATTTACAACCAATTACTATAATGCTGACCAAGTAAGAATATATATATTATGATCTAGCAGGGAAAATATGATTTATTCACTTTACAGTATCTGAAGTAATTAAGGATAACTGGTCTGCCCTGGAAACTTTCTTCAAGTAAAAAAAACAGATGATGTAATGTTATGAATTTATGTACAGTTTATTCATTTTTTTGGTCCCTCACCTCAGATGGTCTGACATATTCTGTGGTGTCCTGAACGAAGTCTCCCAGCATGGCCACACCTCTCATCTCGGTGTACACCGAGCTCTCTGGACGCGTCTCAGTCTCCTGATATGCTTTCTGACTGATAAATACATACCTGCACATATAAAACATAACAGAAATTATTTGCAGACTTTAAAAACAAAACACCTTCATGGGTATAACAGAATAAATGCTGCATTAACTATAAGATCAACATTAGACGATTAAACGTATTCAAAGATATAAATGAAAATGCAAAAACCAAAACTATAAACTCACAGAATGTATTATTCTGTAAAACATCTGTAAATCAGATATGAATAACCATAAGAACAACTAAGCAGGACAACATAATTAGATTTGACGTTTCATGATATTTATATAAGGATGCATTAATCGCTATATCACTTATTTATTGCTATTGACATTTTTGTTGCATTTCTACTGCATATATTTTGTCTTCTTCAAGATGCAGAAAAAAAACTACTCCAGTCTTCTGTAGGCAAAGGTTTATAGTACTAACTCAAGAGACATTGAAATTATCGTACTCTATTTTGAGTTTCCGTGTTGTTGTTCTGCAGTTTTCTACCCTCAGAGGCAAATATAATAAAGATAATTTATGACCAATTAAAAGTATCAGTTTTGTTGATTGACTAAAGGTAATTTTTTAGTTAAAAAACAGAGACAGAGGAAAGTAGATTCTTACCAAATGAAATATGTGATCACCAGGAACTGCACAGCTCTGTATATGACCCCTAGTTTTCTGTCCTTCACCACCATAACTTGTGGAGTCTCATAGTCCCAAAAACCCAGGAAAAAGTCTTTAAAGAATTCTAAACAACCCATTTTTATAAAATTCCTTACTTGTTCCTGCAAAATGAATGTCTTAATCGTCACCATTCACCGCTGAACTGATGCTGTATGGTGATACCCTTTCTGTACTACATTTCTCTCTCACTCTCTCTCTCTCTCTCTCTCTCTCTCTCTCTCTCTCTCTCTCTCTCTCTCTCTCTCTCTCTCTCTCTCTCTCTCTCTCTCTCTCTCTTCTCTCTCTCTCTCTCTCTCTCTCTCTCTCTCTCTCTCTCTCTCTCTCTCTCTCTCTCTCTCTCTACCCTGAAATGGTAGCATTGTCCTTTTTTTCTGTGGTTAAATCCCTATGGGTTAAATATTGATTATGATAACGTTTATTATTTTATTGAAAGAATTCAGATTTGTGTAATTTTACTAAAGCTTAGGCTATGGAACAACAGCAAACTTGATGATGAGGTACAATATACCTTTGTTGCATAACAAGTATTTATAAATGTAATTTTTGATAGATACATAGATAGATAGATAGATCTACATAAAAAATACTATACATGAGCCTACATTTGACCACATTATATTCAATGTAGCCTATTTGTGTTATAGGCTATTGTTCATTTATGCCTTAGATAAAGATATATTGGGTATTTAAATTAACATATAATCATATTATATAATATAGTAATATTACACATGCAGTAACAGTATTACACAGACATACGTATTCGACACGACACGACACGTTCATGCATTTATATGCAGGCATTTCTGCGGGCGCACCCAATTCAAGGGTCCTACCGTCTCAGCCGACTGACGTCACACAAAACACGTGTGTTCGGAAGAAGCACGTTAGTACTGGCTCTGATCTGGGATCTCTTTACAGTGTTATTGCAATAGGTTTTATTTTAGGTTTTGTCGAGTGGAAATACCATCCGCTGTAATGGGTGGATTACAAAAGAAAAAGGTAAGGCAGCGATTCAGACCAAAACTGTCGGTAAACAAAACATGTGTTGATGAGCGCAAGGCCCTGCAAACGTGTGTGCTTAAACGCATTATACTGTATACATCTAACATTTTAAATATGCATACATATGATAAAGATATGTATGAAGATCTACAGCATAATTGTCACTTGATTTTTCAGCTGTTTGCTGCTTTGTTTGAAGAATTTAATAAGGGTTCTTATTAAGCCTAATTCATTATAAGATCTGACACACAGTGAAAATGGGTCTTTAAACGAGTCATGTCAGAGCACTTGCTAACCTGTCATTTCTTTTTGTGCAGTATGAGAGTGGATCGGCCACTAACTACATCACCAGGAATAAAGCCCGCAAGAAGCTGAGTCTGAGTCTGGCTGATTTCAGGTTAGTTAACAAAACAAAGCATCAGATTTAACTAGATGTTCTATGCTAAGGTTTTGGTCATTTTACATTCAACATATATTATATAATTGTATAGTGCATATAGAATGTCACATACTTTATTCACCGGTATGTACATTGCAGTGTATGTTTTCAACTGCTTTTTTATCTAGCTTCTAAATGACAACTAAATCTGTGCGTGGATATTTTAGAGTTCGATTGGACATGTGACCTTTGACATCAGCCACAAAGTGTATTTAAAAGTGATTTTTAAAAGATAATATTAAGCCTATTTATTTTTCCATCTTCTCAACTATATACACTTACAAAAATAAGTTAATTTTATTAAGTATAGTAAAGTTTAATTGAATTTTTTGTAGTAGGCATACTAATATCAATTTACTAGTGGTATACTTGTAAGTGTACTATTTTACTTGTCTAAATTGACCAACTTTTTAATGTATAAATATATACATTAAGTGTAACATTAGTAAACTGAGTACTACACAACTACGTTTTTCACTTGTACTGCAACTACAAGTGAACTTAGTATAGTGTACACTGATAGTTTACTAGTCAAATACAATTTTTTTAGTTTATGAAAATACACTTTGAATGAAAATACAAGTTTAGTAGTTTAATTCTGCAAGTATACTTGTAAGTGAAATTAACATCATTCTTGTTTACTATTTTATATATATATAATTTTTGCTCTTGAAGTATACTACTATGTTCCTATTTAGGTAATCATTTTTTATACTTGAAATATACCTTTAACTGTATTTTGAGTATATTCGTATGTACACTACCAGTGGAGTAGCCTACACAAAAATTCACATACTCAGAATTAGGATCATATCTGTTTTCTTTATGAATCAATATTTTCAAACAATGTTAGCTGATAAGACTGCATGTAAAACTATGTGAAAAAAGTATTTTACAGGCTATTCAATCAAAAGAGCAAACGAACTACAAGCTTTTAACTTAAGTAAATCTCGATCAAAAGATTGAATACAAGTAGTCTATAAGCCAAATATACTTAGATGTTTCTATCAGTATAAGTCATGTATACTTAAGTGTAATTTTAAGTATTTCCAAGAAGTACATAAAAAGTATACTGAAAGTTTAAAAGAAGTATATTATTAATTACACACTTATAAACTTATTTTCTAAGGGCAGTAATGCTGATAGTTAGCTTTATCATTTTAATATTTCTTCCCTGGTGTTATTTATGAACCACAGATGTATGTATTGTAACCTACTCTTTCATATTTATGCATTTAATAAAATTCATTGTGAATTAATACATCTCATTTTACAGGCGATTATGTATATTGAAAGGGATCTATCCTCATGAGCCCAAACACAAAAAGAAGGTCAACAAGGGCTCGACCGCCCCTAGAACCTTCTACCTGCTGAAAGACATCCGCTTCCTCCTGCATGAGCCCATCGTTGGCAAGTTCAGAGAGTACAAGGTGAGAACTCTGGGCAAGCTAAATGCTGCTGTGTGTTTGCAGCTGCTTTCTCTAATCCTTATTTTGATCACTTTTTCATGTACAAGTCTTGAATTACATAAGTTTTTTTTTTTTTGAAATGTCAATGACAATATAAGGGTGCGCTGCGTTCACACTTGTAGTTTGGTTCGCTTGGTTTTTTGGTCCGGACCAAAAAAAAAACATTTAGCTTGGCGTTCACAGTGGCATTTTTATCGCCGAAACTTAAGGCATAGGGATGTTCACAACCTGATTGGTCGATTTTTTTTGAGGTATTGCCTATTTTGAGACGGAACTTAGGCCATCCTTAAAAATATTTTGGTTTGCAGTAACAGAAAAAAAAAAAAAAAGGGTCGGTAGGTAGGTCTATTTTTTTTTTTTCAAGATTCAATGTAAAAAAAAAAAAGGATAATTTTGGTCATGGTGATTACGTCGGTATGAATTTAAACAAATTTGCATATCGTGACGTCACTGACTGGGTCTTCAACCCATGCCTTCGGGCGCACCATTGCGAACCTCATTCTGATGCAGGTTATAGACCACAAACAATTTGAAATCTGTGTCAAAACAAAACATATTTATTGCATTAGTTCCAGCTGCATTCAGTTGGAAAAAATATAGGCAGAATCAAAAAAAAAAAAAAAAAGCAGCCACTAGATTTCAATGAAAGTGGATTTTCAGAGGGAAACAAATAAATTAAAATGACTAATCTCACCAGCGCCGCGCCGACCAATAAAACAGCGTGTTTGGCACCATTTGTTTACATTTGACCCATACTGTTACAAGCCCCCTTTCTGGTCTAGGGGCAGGAAAGGAGGGTAACAAAAAGTTGCAGGGAGAGAGTGAGAGATGTGACCCATAAACATCTGCTATTATTAACGGAAATCAGTGAGGTCAAATGGCTAGGCGCATTGTAGGAAACTAAAGGCCGATTAAGTAGTCCTGACATATTATGGAATGGTCGATTTTCTTTTATGCAATTTAGTACATTTCGGTATGGGATGTGCTGTTTTATTGGTCATCGCGGCGCTGGTGAGATTAGTTTGCGCCGCTCTGACCATTGGCTGGCGCAAGCAAACACTTCTCCCTGCGCTGTCGAGTCTGACGCGGCTCGGTCCATTGAGCCACGCAGATTACAAGTCAGCGCAGCGCGAACTCTGTAACACCGCGCCGTTTCGTCCCCCTTTCGGTGTGTTTGGCTTCCCATACTTATGTGTGTTTGTTTGTCAGAGCGTGCAGTTGCTGTGTGACGCGCGTTCGCGGTGGGCATATCATGACGAGCTGGACGCGCTCCGAAAAAAAGCCGTTAAAGGGATAGTTCGGCCAAAAATTATATTTAACACATTACTCACCCTCAAGCCGTTCGAGATGCATATGTCAATCTTGTTTCAGACGAACACATTTTCAGTTATTTTAGAAAATGTCTTAGACCCTTCAGTGGATATAATGTGAAGCAATGGGGTCCACCTCCTTCAAGTCCCAAAATGTGCATACATCCTTCACAAAAGTAATCCATCCGGCTCCAGGGGGATAAACGAAGGCCTTCTGAGGGTAATCCGTGCGGTTTTGTCGTAAAAATATACATATTTAAAACTTTATAAAAGAAAATATCTGACTTCCGGCAACGATCGACGCACGTTCACGGGTGATGGAAGTCGGCGTACGAGGTAGGACGTAGCGTAGGAACCGTCGTGACGTAGAACGAACGCGCCGGCGCAGCCAGAGAGCAGAGCAAAACAACGTCTGCGTAGGGCTGGGCGATATAACGATAATTATCGCGATATAATTTTTCTCGATAAAACGATATCAAGAGGTCGATAAATGTTCGATAATGTTTATGCGCCAAAAGCGGAACGAAACTCATTTGAACCGCGCGCGCCACACGGACTGTTTATCCGCTCGGCTCAAAGTCCAAACGGCAGCGCGAGCTCACTAGAGCAGACGCGTTTACTCTGATCGTCTCGCTCACGAGATCCAGTGTGAAGTGCTAGAGTTCAGCGAAGAACACAAATGTTTAAAGGCAGATGAAACAGCGCTGACAAACAGGAGAAACACTGCGCGCAATGATACAGTCAATCTGAATTGATGCTGAATCCATTTAGCCTACCATGGATTTACTGTAAGGTTAGCCTAGTAATATTAACTGCACCATGAAATGTGGGATACATATTGAATTGTATAATATTATTAATGTAGACAATGTATTAAATGTCTAATGGAATATAATTATAGTATTTAATAATATATTTAACTGTTAGGCTACTGTTTTTCATACAAATACCATAGAAACCATAAAGTTACATTTTGCCATGATAGTGAGGTACTAATTTATAACGTTAGGCTATGCCTGGTTTTATCTGTGGTTATCATGATCTAAATGCATGATACTGGATGACCAATGGTTAATTTTAATAAAAGTCAAACAGTCAGAATATTACATTTTACCAAATGAAAATGTGGTTGTTAATTTTTTTTTTTAACAGATGTTACTGTTTTTGTTAATGAACATAAATTTAACAGAGTAGTATTAGCTTGAGTTAGGATGCCGATTTACTGTCAACTCACTGTCAAATATGCATTTCGAGACAAAACATGTAATTTGAATATTGCAGGCTGCACTGCAAACTGCTGAAGAAATATTTTTCTATTCAGATATTAATTTTGTTAAGGAAAAATGACAAATGTTTGAATGTTCTACCTCAGATTTGTGAAATGTTCACCTGTTTGTCAAGTGTTTGTCATGATATGTTCTGATAAAGAGTTAAAACCACAATTAACGCTCTGGTTTATACAACTTTCACTTAGGAGCAAAAATCTGCCTTTAAACTTGAAAGAAATAAAGATTTGACATTTATCGTGATAATTATCGATATCGACTGATATAAAAAAAAATATCGTGATAATTTTTTTGGGCCATATCGCCCAGCCCTACGTCTGCGTCACGACGGTTCCTACGCTACGCTACGGTCCTACCTCGTACGCCGACTTCCATCACCCGTGAACGCGCGTCGATCGTTGCCGGATCGTTACCTCAAACCATATGTGACCATAAACTCGTTAGTCAGCTAGAAAAATTAATTCTAAAGAGGAGCATTTTGCTAAATATATACACCATATTACATATTCATTATTATTTTTAATGTTCTTCGATATTTAATGCATGTTTGAATAAATCTGGCAAGTTTTTATGACAGCCACCATTTAAATGTTTATATTTCATATAACTTTATTATTATAAAAATAAATAAGTGTAATTTAAGTGTTTGTATAGCTTCAAATCAGTTCATTTTTACCTTCAATATTATAGTAGTAGGCTAATGAAGCCTAGTAGGCTACAACTGACTCCCATAGTTTACAGCATTAGTTAAGAGATTTGTTTTCTTTGAGAATTTGCCATGTATTGTACCTGATATCCAAAATAATCAATATTGAATCGAATCAGAATCGAATCGAATTGCAAGCTTGTGAATCGAAATTGAATCGAATTGTGAAATTTGTGTCAATACCCAGCCCTGCTGTGTACTCACTGTATATTACTTGATTATAGATTTTTGTGCGTAAACTGCGGAAGGCTTATGGCAAGGCTGAGTGGGGTGGAGTGGAGAGACTGAAAGAGAACAAGCCTGTGTACAAACTGGACCACATCATCAAGGAGAGGTGAGCGTAAATGCAGTGCTGTGTGTTGGCCTGCAGAGGACACACTTCAACTCTCTGGCTCAACAACAACAACAACATGCTGTTAAAGACTTTTCTGTGTTCAGACAGTGTTATGTGATAAGCACCTATTTGTGTCCAAACACTGTTGTGAGTCTGGGAAGAGTCTCTCAGCCCCTGTCCACAAAACAGATCAGTTGTGAGAAATTCAAAAAGTCACATAAGAATCTGATACTTTAATTATCTTGGCCCGACTCACTGTAGACCGTTTGTCTCTTCATCCGTCCTTCTGCCTCTGTTTACAACTGTTGCATCAGCAAGGTTTAGGATTTAGAATGTGAAGTTTTTATTTATTTATCCCCCAAGTAGAACATGCACAAAATTTTGGGGTCGGTAAGATTTTTAAATGTTTTTTGAAAGTATCTTGTGTTCAACGAGACTGCATTTATTTGATAAAATGGTAATATTGTGAAATATTATTACAATTTAAAGTGATCTGTTTGAATGTATTTTAGTGTCACAGGATCATTCAGAAATCATTGTAATATGCCGATTTGATGTTCAAGAGATATTTCCTATTATCAGTGTTGAAAACATTTGTGCTACTTATTTTGAATGGAAACAATGCGGGGTTTTTTTTTTTTGTTCAGGATTATTTGATGAATAGAAAGTTCAAAAGAATAGCATTTATTTGAAATGAATCTTTTGTATCATTCTAAATACCCTTACTGTCGTTCTTAATTTATCCTTGCTGAATAAAAGTATTCATTTCTTTCAAAGAAAAAAACAAAAAAAATCATTGTTACTAATATGACTGGGCAAATTTTGCAATACTACAATAAAGACATTGGGCTTGTATTAGCCATTTGAATTAGAAATTGAACTAGAAAATACTATGAAAAAGCTTTACAAGTGCATCTACTTGAGTGGGGAAATTTCCAAAACTGTTAGTTAAACTTATTTTACCATAACTTGTCAAATCTTCTTTAAAATCTGCCACCATATTTAACTTCACTACGCTGTGTTCAGCTGCCACGTTGATCAACTTAAATTTTTTCTTCTATTTTTCTATAAGTGTTTTGTCATCTCCTTGTGTACGGTTTATAAAATAAGTTTGTTTTTCCAGATATCCCACGTTCATTGATGCTCTTCGAGATGTAGATGATTCCCTCTCTATGTGTTTCCTGTTCTCTACATTTGCTCGCACGGGAAAGTGCCACGTTCAGACGATTCAGCTGTGCCGGAGACTCAGTGTCGAGTGGATGAATTACGTTATCTCCTCACGCTCCCTGAAAAAGGTGTTGTATTACATATGCTAAGAGTGAAAAGTGTGAATAAAAAAAATCAATTATTCATTAATGTTACAGTCTATTATCAATCACTTCTCTGACTCTTTATGATTTATTTTTTCCTTCAGGTTTTTCTTTCCATTAAGGGCATTTACTACCAGGCAGAGGTATTGGGGCAAACCATCACATGGATCATACCATATCAGTTTGCCCATGATGTGAGTATAAAATAGTTGATTTTTTTCTGCCCTATTTTACTGAAGTACCACACACGAAAAAATCTTGAAGCAGGTTTGATCCCAAATAGGGACAAAATTGTGACATTAATATTTAGACATAATAGTAAAAAAAAATGTAAACAAATTAATACTTTTATTTGAAAAGGACACATTGAAATTGATAGAGATAAAGACATTTATAATGTTACAAAATATTTCAGTTTGAAATAAATGCTGGACTATAATTATCAAACAGTTGTCATGAAACAAATGTATGGCAGTTTCCACAAACAAATTTCACCATTGATAATAATTAGAAATGTTTCTTGAGCAGCAAATCAGCATATTAGAAGGATCACACTGAAGACTGGAGTAATGATGCTTTGAGGTCACAGAAAATAATTGACATTTTAAAATATATTCAAATAGAAAAGTTATTTTAAATTGTAATAATATTTCATATAATATTACTATTTTAACCAAAATTATGTTTGATCAAATGCATGCAATCTTGGTGAGTATAAGAGGCTTCTTTCAAAAACGATAAAAAAATCGTACAAACTTTTGAACAGTAGGGTATGTTGTTACTGTTTGCAACGCACCAAGTTTGCAGTTTTGGGTTGCACAAGTGAGCTCTAGGTGAATAGACTAATGAACGACTTTATTTTGAAGAAATGTGATTTCTATTATTATTATTAAGGAATTGGATTTATTAAACGTTTGTGTCTTTATCATATTGCTGTTGTTACCTATGTTAAAATCATTGATCATCTGGGTCAGTGTCTTAGTATGATGCAGTATTTTGGATGCTGAGGTCTTTCATGATGACCGTTTAATATAACACACCCCTGTCCCTGTTTTCCTCAGCACCCTACAGATGTGGACTACAGAGTCATGGCCACATTTACAGAATTCTACACAACACTGCTTGGCTTTGTCAACTTCCGTCTTTACCAGACTCTCAACCTTGTCTACCCGCCCAAGGTATCAAATGTGCTTCCTTTAAATGCCTTTATATTATGCAGTAGCAGAATTCCAGTTGGGAATTGAATCTCTCTCTCTCTTTTTTTTTCATGTTAGCTTGATGGACAAGGAGAGATCAATCTCAAATCAGAGTTTGAAGAAGATTATGCCCTGGAATCAGAAAGCTATACTGAGGTATAAGACTAGTTTCTCTTTTCATATCAACATGAACTTGTGCCAAATATTACAGTGTGTTTAAAGACTTGCCTCTTCACATCTCCCACCAGAAACTGTCAGCGTTGAGTGCCAGTCTGGCCCGTATGGTCCCATCAGCGGAGGAGGAGGAGACAGAACTGGACCATTTCCCTACTGAAGGGGTGAGCGAGTGACAGCTGTCTTCATTTTTAAGGAATGTCACAGTGAGGAAATGTTCCTAAATTTCCCACCGGTTAATAAACATGCAGGGCTTAAAGTATTCCGGCCGGGGGCAGGTCCGGCCTCCGGCGCAGGCAAAATTGATTAATCAGGCTGCAAATTACAGTCGGAGGCACTTTCGGCGCGGACGCGCTTGGAAAAAACGAGTGCGCCGCTTACATTATGAGCGCGCATACCGCGCGGCTACATTTGAAACTGGGAACTTGAATGCGGTTTGATATTTTCGAGTCAATTGATTTCACCTACCAATCATATGAGAGGAGCGCAGCTCTAACTAACGTCACAAGCCTATCAGAAGCAGAGCAGGGCGGGTCCTGGCAACAGTGTGATTGAGATCCATCCATACCTCACGTTAGCATCGTCGGTGAAAGCATGGAGCGCAGAACTCCACAAACAACATCAGGTGACTTTAATGTCATCATGGATGAAAAGAAAGAAAGGAGATGTGAGTTGGTTGATTTCGTAAATTAGCTCAGGTCAGCGTAATCATATTTTCTGTCTACACCTTTTGATGTTAGCCTTATGTTGACTGAGCTAACATTAACACGTACACTGCTGCTAGGTAACTTCAGACTGTTAGTTAAATATTTAATGTAGAACATTCTGTGTAGCTTACTTTAAAAAAACATTGTGTGTAGGCCTACCATGAAAACGAGTCCACTTTAAACCGCTTCATTTTCTGTCAGCAATGTATGACAAGTAAAGTTAGTGCTGTCAATGTTAACGTATGCGATTTCTTTTTTTTTTTTTTTGTCCAGCTTTAATGTTTTAAAATATTTAACACAATTAACGCTGCATCCGTTCTTTGTCATTCTTTAGCTAGGGTTATGATCACGCTCTTATTAGTTATTAGTTTGTCCACCAAATGCTTTAAACCTTTAATGTGCGACAAGATAAAAGAGAACACACTTCAGTAAATGTCCTCCTCACACACACACACGAGGCACAAAAAGTCGCAAACCAGTATCGGATTTTCTTTCGCGCTTGAACGAACAATAACACACACATTTATGCCACAATGTCAGTTTTTTCGAGTATCCTCACAAGAATCAATCATTATTAACTTTAAATGAGTTAAATAAAATCTTAAATGGAAGTAAAGAGTAGTGAGAGAATAAAACGCGTGAGATCCTGTCACCAGCTGTAGATCTTAAAGTGACAGTAGCCACTAATTCTGTCTGTCAGTAAAGTTAACCAAAGAACAAAGGGAACAGAGAAAACTACTAACTACTCTTTGACTAAAGAACGCTTGTAGCTTTAATAAGGATTAATCTAATTTAATTAATAATTTATGCAGTGCGGACTATTTTATAACCCTAAAATTGTGGGGGAAAGAATTTATCGAGACAGCATTAGCTATATTAATATCAGTGATACTGGCCTTCATTAATAAAAAGATGCCATAAATGGTTCCATTTGAAGATAAGTCAGTCTGTGCAGTTTTTCTGAAAAATTCCCATGTATTTGTCAACAAAAGTCCGCCGAATGGATGAATTTTGTATCATGATTTTTGACAGCTCCTGGGCTTTTGTGAAAACAACAGATTATACTTCCACACTTTTGTACATTTTTGTATTTTGTGTAACTGCTGGAACAGCCGTTTCATTCAGATTTGTTCATAGTAGTCTAATTATTTCCGATTCTTTGCAGCCTTTAGTCACTGCCTACAACACGCTGGATCCTTCACTGGAAACTGAAAGTAACTCACTCCTGCTAAATGTTTACTCTTTGAATTATTTCACTCGGGAGCAATACAAGTCGATACCATTGTGACTAAAAGTTTGCCAAGAAGTGTTTCATATTCAAGCTAGGCGCTTCTTGTTAAGCTTATAGCAGACTGGGAGTGGCCTTGGACAGTAACATATCCAGTGCATTGTGGGTGTTGAAGTTTTCCTACCTAATTGGCAAAAGGGAAGACCACAGCCTTGTTTCTCTGTTTTCTCTAGTCAGGTAGCAACGATTTCAATTTTTTTCGCCTTTCTACCACATTTTTATTAAATGTCCATTTTGCCAACAGTGAATGACCCCTTTAAAACCTGTACACTTACTAAAAACCAAATTAACCAGTGATTATTTGTACAATTTATATTAATGACGTTGTTATTTAGACCTAAAATAGCTATTAAAAAAAATAGTTTGAGGCAAAAATGGAAGACATGAAAACATGATACAAAGTTCAAAGTTTTTAAATTGAATAACTACCGGTAATAAAGTTATTTGTAGAGCACCTTTCATAAAATGCTGCTCAAAGTGGTTTACAGGTCAGAATATAGAAAGCATTTAGCAGAGCTGTATTGTAGCAAACTCAAAGCCGTCAGACTCCTCTCAGCTTGCTAAAGCACACGTGGCCTCTGTAATTACTATATGAATCCACAATAACTTTCCACTCTTCAAGTTCACTAAAAGAAAGTGTCACAAGACGCTTGCTATTTAGTCACACATGACGTGTGCGAGTCAGTGAAGCATTTAACCCGTGGTTTGATTCATTGTTGTTTTGGACGGACCTCGCATCCTCATGTTTCATGTTCACTGAGGGAGACTGTTGCTATGGTTACACGACGAAGGTGTTAAAAAAACATTCTGATGAAACCGGCGTGACTGCAGGTGAACTTTGTCCTCATTATTTAATGCAGCTTTTATTGAGCTTTATTTATATATGCACTTTCAAATACAGGAGGACCTGGAGAAGATGGAGGTGAGAGAGAAGATGGAGCAGGAGCAGATCAAACAGAAGAAGTTCTTCGAGGGCCTGAAGTTTTTCCTAAACAGAGAAGTTCCCAGGGAATCGCTGGCTTTTGTGATCAGGTGTGACACGCCAGCTCATTTTTATCACACGTCATTCTATCTATGGCACTTTCCTTAAATAGGGTACAAATTGGTGTGTTTTCCTTTGAGATCTTGTTCACAAATCCCATGTTCCTAAGAGGTATTAGATATTTTTGATATTCTAGTCAAATTAACATGAAAATATTTGCATTTGTCCCATCTCAGTGGTTTTCGTTTTCTCAAATGTATGCGGTAGTGATGTATGTCTCGAGACCGGTCTTGGTCTCGAGACCGGTCTCGAGACCACTTTTACGTGGTCTCGGTCTTGTCACGGCCTTGACGGTCTTTGGTCTCGGTCTTGTCTTGGTCTCGGACCTCTCGGTCTTGTCTAGGTCTCGCTGTCTCAAACCGACATAGTGGTCAGGGGATTGAGCAATACAATACTACAATATCCACGACGATATCCGCAACGTATTGAAGCGCGCGTCCGAGTGAAGACAGTGCGGTGCGCGCGAGCCACGCGAGAAAACACTGTATCCGCGCCACTGATCGCAGCGGCAACGAGCACTTTGATCACTTGATTTAAAAAACACATATCATGTACAGTTTTTGATATATTAATATTTAGTAAAACACATATCAGTGACATGATGGGATTCAGGAGATTTTGGGTAACTGCACAACTGACAGATGACTTTGAGCGCACCGCTAACGGTGTGTGTGTGTGTGTGTGTGTGTAACCATAGCGACAAAAACGACCAACTTTCGGATCCTGCACTTAAGCCTATAATTTCGTTTTTAAAAATATAATTATGTATTTAAAAGTTGCAGAATGGATTCATTTGGAGACTTCGAAATCAGCAGAGATAGGCAGGCAAATGCAAAACAACATTTGACAAGTTATTGCTTAACTTCAACACTAATGTTTTTTTCCCCTCCGGTCTCGACTTGGTCTCGGTCTTAGTCTCGACTTGGTCTTGGTCTCGACTTGGTCTGTCTTGGTCTTGGTCTTGGTCTTGTCTTGGTCTCGATACCATCTGGTCTTGGTAGTGTCTTGCTCTCGGTTTAGGCGGTCTCGACTACAAGTCTAGTATGCGGCAATACAAATCATGCTATAATGTCATAATTGTGACTGTTTAATTGATATTCAGTTCACTGTAGAAATATTTTTTTAATTATCTAATTTTAACTAACAAATCATGTAATGTTTAGCTGTTTCCCACACTGTTGCTGCATAGGTTTTTCCTTTATTAAAAATGTATCGTTCTCTGTGACATCATTTGTACAGCACAATGGAATAATTGAATTTTCTCAACTTGTATTTATCAAGCTCAACTATTCAACCCTATAATCAAAGTTATTGTAATCAAATAAAGGTATCTAATCAATATTTTTTCTTAAAATGATTGAAAATATAATTGTATCAATAACTAGTAACTACAAACAACCATTTGCTACCAACCTACATTCATTCAGGCAAAATTGTGTTTTTTATTTGTATATATGTGTGTGTGTGTGTGTATGTATATATATATATATATATATATATATATATATATACACACACACACATACATACACACTAGGGATGGCTCGATACCACAATTTTGGCTTCGGTACGATACCAGAACCTAATACCTCGGTATCGATACTAAATCGATACCACAGGTAAAAAAAAATAAAAACGGCCTCAATTTAAGTGACACTTAAAAAACACTGCTTGAAACTCTCCACTACCAAATGTGCAAAGAAAAGGTATCAAAATGTAAAAAATAATAATAATAATAATTCAGTCAGGGACTCATACATACATTGGACTCATAACGAACATCTTTCGTTAAATTTTGAAGAAAAAAAAAACCTTGAAATTATACATTTAAAATAGGTTAATATCTATAATAATAGATTAAAGGCACACTGTGGAATTTTTGGCCACTAGGGTGCGCTCGCCCTGTAATTTTCACGTCTAGTGCCCCTAGAGGCCACAAGCGCCGCAGCATTGTCGCGAAAGTCAACAAACAGTCAACCTCCCGTGTCTTTATGTGTGTGCAGATGGCATTTGATTTGTATGTTGGAGAAAGTTAATCGATTCACTACTGACCAAAATAATAATATAAATCTAAGATTAATAATATAAATCCTATAAAGAAAACAAATTGAATAAAAGTAGCATACGCAGAAAACAATGTCTGATCAGGTAAGTCGCATTGGCAAGGGTTGCCCAATCCTGCTCCTGCCGATCGTCTGTCCTGCACAGTTCATCTCCAACCCTAATCAAACACACCTGAAGCAAACAATTAACGTCTTCAGGATCTCTTTGCAATGGGTTGGAGATGAAATCGAGTAACGTTAGTCGGGAAATCGTGTAACAAAACTGATATAACTCACTACATATTTCCGTTATTTGTAGTCTTCAGTTTGTTTTTCCTTTTACACAAATACAAACATATATGAGCTGAAAGGAAAAAATAACATTTACATTTGTATACGGCAGTATGTTGTGACTGACTTATATCAGTTTTGTTACACGAATTCGCAGTAAATATGACATTATATATACACTTTTATGCCGATGTTTATTTTAAACTCTCCCTTTTTTTTTTTTTTTTTTCTCCTCTGACAAAATCTTTGCTTTCTTCGCTTTCTTCCGAGTAGCTCGCTGTTGATTCAGCCATGACGACAACATTCAGACGCCGGCAGTCAAACGCGAGTTGAGCTCTCACGTTAGAATTTGAGGAAGTTGGGGTGGTGGGGGAAGTGACGTATGCCGTAAAGCGGTCGAATTTTGTAGTTCTTTTTGTGCTCGGGTTCCTACCCGAAACCCGAAGTTACATAGTGCTAGTAAAAGCGATACAGACACCTTCAGGCTACGGCAGACGTGTCATTCAACCTATTGTAAGTCGATGTACCATCTCAATGGGTTTTGGTAATATATTATAAAGGTTGAAAAGTTCCACAGTGTGCCTTTAACATATAATAATAATAATAGAATAATGAAATGACATTGTAAACCATTAGCTGTCATGCATCAACAGAGAATTATCAACATTTATTGCATTTATTCATCTTGGTTTGGTTACTGTTTGGGTTCATATTAATGCATTCCATAAAGCAATGTTAACATGGTAAACATGTATTAGTATATTTAATTTTCGCCAGTGCAGCACTAATATGCCATTCATTTTACTATCACTAATACTAAAATTAATATTATTCAAATTTGTATTCTTTATTCATTCAAATTCAATTAATATATGTTTGTTTGAGAGTGCAAAAATGATGAGACCTAAACTTAATTGGTTCTAGCGTGTCATGCAAGCAGATTTGAGCTTTCGTGTTTAACGTATCATATATAATTGATAAGCTCTTATGTATGTGCGCTGTTCAGTGTTCAATAAAAGTCTAAATTAAATCAGTTGAATGATGGACTAACCTGTCGATCTCTGAACTCTTTGAACAAGTCAAGATGAGCAACTGACAAGTCAAGTGCTTCGGCAGATTTGATGTGTTGCCTCCCCGTTTGCAGAGTGGTGCATTGAGATCTGTTTCTTTACTTTTCTCATTACTTTTGTTGGCAAAGTAATGCCTTATTTCACTAATACTGTTCTCTCTATTTATTAATTTCGGGCGTGTAGAAATTCGAATGAGCTTCGTTTGATCCATCGTGTTCCTCAGTTGTCACCGTTTGCCGGTTTCGCGTGACCCGTGTCAGTTTAGGTAGCGCACTGCCGCCTAGCGGTGAATTTCGAAACAGCAGCGCATCAAATACCGAATTGAACAAAATTATGATATTGTACCGTTTGATATGTAGTATATACCGGTATTTTTGCAGTACCGGTATACCGCGCATCCCTAATACACACACCTAAACATTATTAGTTGTTTGCGATTTTAAAACCTAATTACCTTTTCTAATGTGGGAATATATATACATATTTTTTTATTAGGAAAAAAAAAACGCAAAAGCTAAACAAATTAGGTTTTAAAATTGCAAACCTTGTATAAAAGAAAAACTAAATTTATTTTATTTTATCTTCCTTAGTTTTTTCCAAAGTCCCTATTTGTGGAAAGTGTCATAAGTTTACAGTGTGATAAGTTTACAGTGTGATTGGTTTTACTCTGTGATTTACAAGTAACTGTTCATAGATGTGTGTGTTTTTCTAAGGCTATAGTATGTGTAGTTTGCACCAAATGTAGTGTTTTTGTCTTTGTATAAGAATGTCTTCCATTGTGCAGGTGTTTCGGTGGAGAGGTGTCCTGGGATAAATCACTGTGCATTGGCAGCACATATGATGCCGCAGACGAAACGATCACACATCACATTGTGGACAGACCCAGCATTGACAAACAGTATATCAACAGGTCTGACCCCAACTCTCTCTGATTGTATGCATAATAATCAGGGCTTGACATTAACTTTTTTGCGCCCACCAGCCACTGTGGCTAGTGGTTTTCTAAAGTTACTAGCCACTCAGCATTTTCACTGGCCACAATTTTGACTGATACCATGAGGAAAAACTGCCATATAGATATTTTTTTATATTATCTCATAATTTGGCAGCAGGTATATTAGGCTGCTGTCACTTTAATACCCCATTATAGTGTTACACATGCATATTTTTCTCAACTGTTTACTTTCACTTAAAACATAACTGACTGTTTGCGTGAATACTCACAAAGACTGGCATTTTGACATTATTTTGTGTGTTTTGACTGTTTTTGCACAATAAGCAGTGAAAAGAACTCGATTTAGTACTGTGAGGCGGCTTTATGTACACACTACATTGCACTTAGTTTATAATTTCAGATGCCTTTTTAAAATGCAACAATTGAAAAAAGTATATATTATATACAAAATTATTGGCGGGTGTTAACATCAAGCTATGTAAGCAATAATAATGTATATTCTTGTACTTAATGCATTTCTCATCCTTGCAGGTACTACATCCAGCCCCAGTGGGTGTATGACTCTGTCAACGCAAAGATACTGTTACCCGTAGAGGAATACTTCCTTGGAGTTACACTGCCGCCCCATCTGTCACCATTCGTGGAGGAGACTGAGGGAGATTACGTGCCTCCTGAGAAGCTCAAGCTCATGGCCCTGCAGAGAGGAGAGAAGCCACGTGAGGGCTTTTGCCATAAGGATTTTGATATGATCACGTGTGAATGTTGAGTGATTGTTGACTTAAAAAATGGACTCTTCACAGAAACGGAAGACGAAGAGGAGGAAGAAGAGGATGAGGACGACGAGGACGAGGAGGAAGTTGATCAAAGTGAGGAAGAAGATGAGGCTGAAGATGAGGCAAATCTAGCTGAAATGGAGGAGAAGAGATCTCGGGGAAAGGTAAGATAGTTTAAAAATTTTGCAGTGTCGCTTTTTGACGCCATTGACATAAGTAACAACATTTAACCCATCAAGTCAGACGAATATGTTAAATAAATGTCATGTGCTGGTTCTCCCTCAGAGCTTGTCAGTAAAGGTGACTCCTGGGAAAGCCAAAGCAGAGAACCGTAAGCGAGCCGCAGAGGAGGAGAAAGCAGAGGAGAAGAGGCTGGCCATCATGATGATGAAGAAGAGAGAGAAATACCTCTATGACAAGATCATGTTTGGCAAGAAGAGAAACGTCAGAGAGGTAAGCCTGCGTAGAAATAGTTGTCAGGAACCATTTTACAATTGTATATGCTCTCTTTTTAGGTAAATAATTTTAAAAAGAATTGTATAGAGCTAGACCCATTTAACATTATTTTATGCAGTAAGATAAGTCTATGATGTTGAAAATGTGTGCTTTGGTTAATGGTTAAACGAGTAAATGTAGCACTAATTAAGAGCTGGAACAGTGGCTGTGAAAGACCTTTTAAAAGGTGCTTGACCTACATTCGGCTCATTATTTAAGCTCCAGTGACCTTGATCGACTTTGTTCATGAATCTAATGCACCCTTTCCAACAGGCTAACAAGCTAGCTGCTAAGAGGAAAGCCCATGATGACGCCAGCAAGGAAGACAAGAAGAAGAAAAAGAAAAAGTGCTGAAGGACTGATTTGTATATGTATTAAAGTGCTTCTTGTGCTTTTTTCCCCCTCTGTGAAGAGACTTGGAGGAGTGTTTCTTCTCTGGTTTCAACTCCTTGCATCATTTAATGGGGATTGTACACGAGTCACTGAACTCTGTCATTTTCAATGACTACCGAGCTTTCATTCTGCATTTCTTGTCTGTCTTTGTGTTGGGCCTAACTTTGATTGACACATTTCTAATAAACAAAAGAAGATTATTATTATCTTAACGGACTTAATGTTTCATTTCTTTTTTTTGTTTCATGTGAAATTGTACTAGCTGGGATAAATGCAATTACGTTTAGAAACAACTTCCCTAAAACGAACTGCTGGAATGTCAGTATTGTAAGTACAACCCCAAATCCAGAGAATTTGGGACATTTTGTAAAAATGCAATAAAATCAAGAATTTGATATTTGTTAATTCTCTTGAACCTTTATTTAACTGACAAAAGTACAAAGAAAAGATTTTCAGAGTTTTTTTGCACTGACCAACTTAAATGTATTTTGTAAATATAAACAATTTTGATGGCTGCAACATAGGCAGGCTTACCACTGCGTCACATCCTTTTAATTACACTTGTTTGGGAATGTTTGGGAATTGATGAAGTTTTGCAAGTGGACTTTTTGCCCAATCTCCACTGATACAAGACATCTCCTCAACAGTCTGTGGTCATCATTGTTTCTGATTCTCCTTTTCACGATGGGTCATCATACATTTTCAATAGAGTCAGATCTGGACTGCAGACAGGAAGTCAAGCACATCCCTTCTATGGTGTAGAGTGTTTAGAAACTAATTTAAACGAGATTATTTTTTTTTTTATACTTTTATACTATAATAAAATATTAAAAACTTTTAAATATTAGTTCCAAAGTTTGGGGTCGGTAAGATAAAAAAAAAATTGAATTATTTTATACTATAATAAAATAAATAATAATAAAACTAGTACAAAACTTTGTGGAAGGTAAGATTTTAAAAATATATACTTTTAAACTATACTATAATAAACCATTATTTCAAATGTTTTGGGAGGGTAAGATTTGATTGTTTTTAAAATTAAATTATTTTGAGTTAGGATGCATTCAATTTAATTAATCTAACAGTAAAGACATTTATATTGTTACAAAAGATACATTTTAAATAAATTCCTTTTGAACTTTATAAAACGATCATGAAAAAGTATTACGGTTTCCACAAAATTGTTAAGCATCACTTTTTTTAACTGATTATAAGAAATGTTTCTTGAGCACTGAATCAGCATAGAATGTTTTTGATCATGTGACTCGAGTAATAGCTGCTGAAAATTCAGCTCTAATCACAGGATTAATTATAAAAACAAAAAATTGTGTTTTTCATCTGACCTCACTTTTGAACGGTAGTGTGCTTGCAAATAAATCACATCAGATGGCTTGTTTTTGATGAGAAGTGAGGTTCTGTTATCAGATTGTATTTTTCAAAGCAAGTAAATTTTGCATTTACGGACATTGTAGCCTATTTTGCACTAAAGTCAAATTGTCTACGGGTTGGCATTAAAACGTGAATAACAACAAGGCGTTTTTATCTCTCTTTATGTGAATAAACCTTTTGTTTGACTTTAGTTTCTGGTATAAATAGGATTTGATACCCAGGGGCAAACAAGTGTAGTTTTGTATTACAGATTCCCGGGAGCACTCACATTGTCAAATTCTAAAGTAGGCTACTCCCAATTCCCTAAGGACTCTATAATGTAAGACATTCATTTAGGCTACAGCAGGGGCGTAGAATTTAGTAGGGACGCTAGGGACGTGTCCCTACCAATATCCAGTGACACTGATATATCCCTAGCAATATTTTCGATCAAAACTTTAAATATATTAAATATTGATGTCCCCGTCCCCACCAATTTCAAAATCAAACCTACGCCACTGGGCTACAGTATAATGTGGCTTTGTTTCGACATGAGGGTTTTAGAACTGAAAGTTCTTCTGATTGTTCCCTGCACAGTTTGGCTTTGAAGTCCTATAAAACCATTTGAGACTTTTACTCAGGTCACTAATTCAGAGTAGACCTATAGCCGTTAAACCGTAACCTTGTGGGGGGAAAGTGTGGCTCTCTGGGGGTGTGCTGGCCTGGAGAATATGTCACTCAGTCTACGAATGTAGCCAAAGTATTTGAAACAATCCCTTAGCGTTATCTCAAATCATTATAAAAACTACAATTTTTGCAATTAATCCAGCATATTCAGAGTTCGAGGTTTCACTCTGGACATTATCTGCGGTGTCTGTATTTTTGAATGGACGATCTCAGCTCGCGACCTGTTTAAATAACGTCTTGTCTAGCTGCGCATTGTTTTATTTGGCTCTATTTAACCCGTTCTCGCTGTATCATCTAGTTTGGCCTAGCCTAGCCTACTTTCCGGACCATAACTGTAAAAATAAAACGATGTCCCTCCGTTTGGCATTTTAATTTTTTCTCTCTGACGCTAAACGAAAAATGTTTCTGTTACAAAACACGTGAATATTTAAGTCTTGTTCAGTTTATGATTGATCATCAATCAGCATTTTTTAATGATCGTTAATTGTTTTTTTCATTTCTTATTGTGTGTGTGTGTGTGTGTGTGTGTGTGTGTGTGTGTGTGTGGTTTATGTAGCCTAATCCCTACTTTATGAAGACAAAATGTCCTTCTGTAGGGAATTTTTTTGGTCCCCATGAGGTAAACAGTTTAAAAATCATACTAAGTAATGTTTTTTGAAAATGTAAAAATGCAGAATTCTTTCTGGGATGGGTATAGTCGATGGGTATGGGTTTAGGGGCTGTAAGGGGATAGAATATAGGCTACAGTTTGTACAGTAGGCTATAAAATCACTACATCTATGGAAAATCTCCATAAAACATGAAAACACAACAGAGAGAGTGTTTGTGTGTGGGCGCGCTCTCTTCCCTAAAACAAGACAGACCGGGACAGCACAACCTTATTTCTGCCAGATCTACACAAACAAAATAAAGATAATTTCTGTAATCTGTTATTATATTGGACTAGTATTAGAATAACGTATTAAAATAACACGAGTTATGTAATCAGATGACTTTTTTCAAGTAGGCTAACCAGTAAAGTAATGCATTACTTTTAAATTTACAACAAAATATCGTAGTTACTTTGTCAAATAAGTAATTTGTCAAATCATTTCCCATTTATTGATCCACACCTTTCCTGTCCTCATGTTGAGAGAAATCGGGAGTAAGTCCAGAGTAAACACGATGGTTATTGTAGTTCTAGACTAAATTTAAGCATGCATTTACTCATCTCACTTGCTCAAAAACAGATTCAGTATCCCTAAAAAGTTATTAAAAACAAAAAATAACACAAATATACTTTATGTATTTAATCTCACTTTATTAACCAATGTATTTGCTGCTGACCTTCGATGATCCAATTCAATCTAATAAGCAAAAATGACTTTAGCTAAACATCACATTTGTGTTTCATGTTTTTATTTTCATTGCTAAAGTAAGTTTGTTGAACTTTCTTCTCTTTTGTCCCATATTCTTCAACAATCCAGAACAGCAGCAGCTGAAAGGTTTGTTTGAGCTGCGTCCTCTACTCACTGTACAGGCGTGAATTTGCATTTCCTTCAGCCTGAGGCTTATTCATTACACTTTTGGCATGAAAGGGAGTTTACATTTGCCAAAAAATATAACTTTTTTAGCATAAGTTACTTTTTTAGGGAGAAATGTAATTTGAGTTTTAAAGATTTTCAAATGAGAAATACGGTTGATATGAGAAAATGATCATTTCAGAGAGCATTGAATTCCTCATTGTGAATTTTAGTGAAGTAGTGAATGGAGTCATATTCTCTTGGTTTAGGATTGCAAGCTGAATTATTTAGCCCTGAATGGTTCTCCAGTGTCCATTTCAGTCCTTTGTGACAGAATTTGATTATAGGTTTTTACAGCCAAAAACTATAAAGGCCAATCTGAATTTGTTTAAAGACTTCAAATGTAATCCGCTCTCTTTTATTTTGTGAGCATGTGTATAACCCGTGACAGTTTGTTCCTTTGTATGTCACACCCAGAGAACCATTCAAATGTGTTGTTGTTATCAGTGAAGGCCTATACCCTTGGTAGCAGCTTTGTATGTTTGCGTTTTTCTTGTATTTGTGGGAAGTTATGACGTTGGTGTTCTCTTCGCCGCTGTGTAACCCCTGTGGGCTTTAGGCCAGGCAACTCATGGCCTTTTAATACTAATTCACATTCACGCACACAAGCATGCAGTGTTTCCCACGTTACCCATCTGCATTCCAGCCATGTCGCTCTTACACTGCCTGGCACTGGCATGACATTCTGTGTGTGTGTCCGCATGTGTGGATGCAGACAATGACCTGCGTGTTTAAGACCAGTCAAAAGGAGATTCGGATTAACAGAAAAATCTTGTTCTAAACAGTAAGAGACATTGAGAAGTGGGGGGAAATAAAGAGAATGGATTGAGTGATGTCACTCAATAGAGGAATGTAAAGATATAAAAGAGGAGAGAGAAATGTATTTAAAGTTGGCATGAAACAGAAGTTGTGATAGTGCTGGGCAATGATTAATCGCGATTAATCGCATCCAAAATAAAAGTTTGTTTATATGTGTGTGTACTGTGTATAATTATTTTGTATATATAAATACACACATATGCATGTATATATTTAAGAAATATTTGCATGTTTATTATACTGCATACATATTTATACATAATTTATAATATATATATAAATATAAATATTTTATATATAAATAACACATTTTTCTTAAATATTGCATGCATGTGTGTATTTATATATACAAAATAATTATATACAGTACACACACATGTAAACAAACTTTTATTTTTGATGTGATTTATCGCGATTAATCGTTGCCCAGAGTAAAACAGTTTTTCGCACAAGAAAAAATAAAGGGCGGTGCTTGATTTTGTCCAAGGGGGAAATGATTGGATGGTTGGGCTTTGCTATTGGTGGATCTCATGTGAGTGACAGAGATGTCCCGCCCTCTCGCCAGTAAACACATCACCAGAGAAGAGAAGAGGGCTGCGTC